TCCTCCTCCTCCTCCTCCTCCTCCCCCTCCTCCTCCCTCATTCCTTTTCCTCATGCATAACTCCTCCCTGTCGCACCCCGGGGCCAGTGGAAGGGGCGGGCCGGGCGTTTCGCCCGAGAGCTCTTCGCCACTCGCGAGCCTGAAGCTCAGAAATTGCGGGAGGTCCACCGGCGGAGGGCGGGCCGCTTTCACCATGGTGGCTCTCGCCCGGGCGCCGCGCACACCCGTGTGTTCCACGAGTTTGTGACAGCTTCTCACGGGCGGAGGGCGGGTCGCTTCCCACGTGCGGCTCTCGCCTCAGCGCCGTGCACATTCGTGCAACAAAAACTGGCAAGAGCTTCACGGATGCAGGGCAAGCCATGTTTAGCATGTGGCGCTCGCCTCAGCGCCGCGCACACTCGTTTCGAGAGTTTGCAACAGTTTCAATGATTCCCATGGCTAATTTCCCTGAAATGAGGTTTTGGCACGATAATTGGATTAGTGGCGCTCAAGTCCCAGGAACGGTGTTCTGGCGCGAATGCGGATCGTCAAGATACAACAGTAATGGTGATTCGCGGCGTTGAATTCCCAGGAATTGTGTTCTGGCGCGGCTCAAGATTTTCAAACGATTGCTTTCCAACGGGGCACCTCCTTCATTGAAAATAGACCCTTGTGTGGGGCCTATGGAGAGGGAACTTGGAGGGAGGGTTCATTGCAACATCGTTGACGAATCTTGGGTTCACACAGGTCCTCCTCCTACTCCTCCTCCTCCTCCTCCTTCTCCTCCTCCTTCCTCCTCCTCCTCCTGTCCTGACGCGCCCTCTGCACAACGCCTCCCCCCCGTGCGCAAGCGGGAGGGAGAAGCCTTCAGCAGCTCCACCTCGCGGCCGCTCTGCCCCCGGGCCCGCAGCTGCCTGATGCCGTCGGCCACGGCCGCGCTCGCGCCTCTGCCGGGGGCGCGCCAGGGGCAACGGCATCCGCACGGCTCCCCTGAGGTCGGGCCTGTCCCCCCTACAAAGGGGATTTTGAGCGACAAATGAGAAAGACTCTAAAAATACTGCCAACATGCTCGAAAATAATCAAAAAATAGTCCGCAAACTATTTTTCTCCTATTTCTGAATAATCCCCCTGTAGAGGGACAGGCCCGACTTAAGGCTCCCCCCACGAGTGCCACGACCGTGGGCGGCGGGAACGAGTTGAACCAAAAATGGTGTTCCGCAGGAGAGAGAAAAAACAACGGCGTAAACATAGGCTGTTGGCTTTCCGCGCGGACTTCTTGGATGTGCGCTGGAGCCCCTCCCTGGCGCGCGGAGCGCGCCAGGGGCGGCGCCGGAGGCGCCGCCAAGGCGCTGCAGCGCAGATCCGAGAAATCTGCGCGGAGCGCCCAAAGTTTGTTTATGCACTTAATTTTCTTCTTCGAAGAGAATGTGCGCGGCCTGGAGTGGGTTCCGTCAAGCGCCTCGTCGAGGGCATGCTGGGGGTGCCGAGATCATCTCCTGGACGGCCGCTGGAGGGGCCGAGTTGTGGCCTAAAGTATCCGACGAGGAGCCGAATCGCTGTGCTCGCACGAAGTGGATGCCGGGCCGTCTTGCAGCCGGTGCGGCCACCGGCCAAGTGAACAAGTTCGGGGGCCACGTGCGAGTCCGGCGGAGAGGACAGAGGGGAGGGCCGAAACAGACAACGAAGGCAAGGGAGCGGGGCAGGGGAGGGAGGGAAAGAAGGGGGGGAGGGAGGAAGAGAGGGAGGGAAGTACGGGAGTCGGGGGAAAAGGGAGGGATGGAGGAGGAGGGAGGGCAAAGCGGAGGGGAGGCAGACGACCCTGTGCGTGCCGACACACGAGCCCAATGAAAAAGAGCGAGGGGGCATGTCGGGCCCAGTAAGCGCTGGGAGGCATCTGCGACGGCACGGGTGTTTCGAGAGGACGGTCCTGAAAGGCCCAGGGGGAGGCCCTGGGAGGACCTCTGAGGCCCTCCAGGGCCCTGATAGACCCCGGGAAGCTGTGTGAGGCCCAGGGGGACCTCGGAAGGGCTGTGGTGTGGGCATGTCAGGCACCCACGCAATGGTACAGAAGTGAATCAGGTGCACTGTAAACTAAGACTCTCTCCTCCTCCTCCTCCGCATCCTCCTCCTTCCCCTCCTCCTCTTCCTCATCCTCCTCCTCAACCCCCTTCCTTGTACATAACTCCTCCCTGTCGCACCCCGAGACGTGTCTAGGGCGGGCCGGGCGTTTCGCCCGAGACTTCCTCACCTTTTTTATGATCCTGAAGCTCAGAATCTGCAGGCGTTTCACGGAGGGCGGGCCGTTTTCAACATGTGGCTCTCGTCTTAGCGCCGCGCGCATTCGTCTGTAACATTTGCAAGAGCTGCGCGCGTGGAGGGCGGGTGGCTTTCAAAACGTGGCTCTCCCCTTAGCGCCGCGCGCAGTCGTCTTGAAAGTTCGCAAGAGCTTCACGCGGGTGCGTTTCAACATGTGGCTCTCGCCTTGGCGCCGCCCAAATTCGATTCACGAATTAAAACTGTCAGGGCGCAGCAATCAGGTTGATTCGCGGTGTTGAAGTCCCAGAAACGGTGTTCTGGCACGATTCACAATCGTCAGGACGCAAGATAACGTTGATTCGCGGCGCTGAAATCCCAGAAATGGTGGTTGGGCACGATTTTTGGCATGATTGAGGGTTATCAAACGGTTGTCTTCCAACGGAGCAGTTCCCTCAGTGAACAACAACTATTGTAGGATATTGTAGGGACCTGCGAATCTGAAGGAGGGTGTACTGCAGCATCGTTGTGTTGCGCCTCGGGGTTGCACTGGTCTTCCTCCTTCCCTTCCCTCCCCTCCCCTCCCCTCTCCTCCCTCCCCTCCCCTTCCCTCCCCTCCCTCCCCTCCCCTCCCTCCCCTCCCCTCCCTGGACGGTATCCCCAGGTGCCGTAGGCGATCCGAGGAGGGGAGGGCGAGGAGGGGGAGGAGGAGGAGGAGGAGGAGGAGGAGGAGGAGGAGGAGGAGGAGGAGGAGGACGAGGAGGGGGAGGAGGAGGAGGAGGAGGAGGAGGAGGAGAAGGAGGAGGAGGGAGGAGAAGTATGAGGAGGCTGTCGGCGATTGATTATGTATGTAGGATGTCTCTTCATACCCCACACCAGCTGAAGGCGCCACCACATTAAACATGCATCAATAAAAACAAATCAAATACCGTCATCCGAGAGTTCGGCCTCCTCGCGCTGTCTCCTGTCAAGGACCTGCTGCCCAAGCCCTTCGGCCTGAGCGCGGGAGGAGAATCCGAATAGCGCAAGGCCTCGGATGAGGTCGACCCCGATCCGCTCGACGGCGGGGCCAGGTCCAAGCTCGGGCACCCCTCCTAGGCCGAACTTCGAGGCCAGGAAGGTGCGAGAGTCGTCGGATAGCGAGCACGCTGCTCTGACTCGGCACTCCTTGCGGGACGGATGTTTGCCTTGCAAAATCCAAGCCAATTGCCTCTTGCGGCCTGGGGAACGGGACCCCAGGCAGTCCGACACGAGAGCGCTCCGACCCCACGAACTCCCAGGGTGGCCGATGGACCCGCAAGTGGTGCAAAAAACTACGGGTCCCAAAGGAGCCCCAGCAGCCGAGGTCACTGGAGCTTCGATGCAGGAATGGCCTCTGGCTTTCCAAGGCCTGAGGAGGGCCCAAGCCTCTTCCCCCGGAGGCGGCGGGAGGACGGGGGAGGATAACACCTCGCCAGCGTCCTGCGCCTCGCCGCTAGCCGTAGCGCTCCCTCCGACGACAGCGCACGACGCTCCGACATCCGCCCCACCCACACCACCGCCATCATCCCCTAGGGCGTCTGGCGGCAATTCAAATGTGCCGAGGTCGACATGTCGGAGCCAATCGAGCGGGACATGGTCATACACCCCAGCATCCGCTATCATGGCCTCCTGACGGGCCGAGTACCTAGCCACCTGCTTGGCAATCTCATGACAGCCGATGATGATGAGACGATCGGCGGGGTCACTGCGATACAGCTCGGCCCCGCGACGCGCATACTCATCCGCTGCTTTGTTGCCGAGCCACTGCGCTCGGGTCAGGCGGCCTTCGATTACGTCCGTCTCTGTACAATGGGACGGGACTTTCCAGACAGAGCAATCGTCAAGCTTGTCGTGCACCTGGGCCCACCAATGGGCCCGCGCATTATCGGGGCCTGCAGCGGACCTGGGGTCCCGAGCACAATCCACGGTGCCCGCGCAATCAATATTGAGGCGGACTCCGGGGAAGAGGGTGGCATTGAGACAGAGCTGGGGGGAGGAGGAGGGAGGAGGAGGAGGAGGAGGAGGAGGAGGAAAGAGGGGAGGAGGAGGATGAGGAGGAGAGGAGGAGAAGGGGCAGGAGGAGGAGGAGGAGGAGAGAGGAGGAGGACGGGTCGCCAAAGCCCTTCGGAGAAACCCTCCACCCCTCCCTCCCTCGCTCTTCGCCTGCAGGATCGACCCATCCGAGGCGCAACTCGATGTCTGCGCGCCCGGCGTAGCGCTGCCGCAGGGAGGAGAACTGGCTGCGGGGCCTCTTTTTTGCCGCGGCGCCCGGTCGGCACGGCTGTGCGGCGCCTCGAGAGGAGGAGGAGGAGGAGGAGGAGGAGGAGGAGGAGGTAGGGGATGCGGTAGGAGGAGGGAGGAGGAGGTGGAGTATGAGGTAGAGAGGATGAGGAGGAGGAGGAGTAGGAGGAGAGGAGAGGAGGAGGAGGAGGAGGAGGAGGAGGGAGGAGGGAGGAGGGAGGAGGGAGGAGGGGAGGAATGGAGGAGGAGGAGGTAGGGGGAGGAGGGAGGAGGGAGGGAGGAGGAGGGAGGAGGGGGAGGAGGGAGGAGGAGGAGTAGGAGGAGGAGGAGGAGGAGGATCATCAGGGGGAGCAGGAGGGAGGTCAGAGGAGCAGGAGGAAGCAGGAGGAGCAGGAGGAGGAGGGCTGCCGCAGATCTGCTGCTGGGCAGAGGAGAAGGGACGAGCTCTCATTGGGGAGCTCGCCCGGGGCAGAGCGAAACAAAAGGGGGGGAGGCCTCGGCTCGATGCCCCAAGCTGGAGGGGGCAGAGATCCCGCGGACGTGTCGGGATGGGGGCAAGAAGGAGCGGGAGGCAGAGGCGAAGGGATGAGGGGCGAGGGGGCGCGGGAAGGGGGGGGAAGGGGGGCGGAGAGGAGCGGGGAGCGGGAGGGGGGACGGGGGCGGCGGCAACAGCAGGAGCCTCCCCGTCCTTTGCTGGTCAACTTGGTGCGCCCGGACTCATTGCAAAACAACGTGGTACTAAGTTACATCTGCTTTGCTGGCTTCCGATCG